CCACTTTGAGATTTTAGTCAAAGAAAATGATCCAGAATATGGCAAGAGCTGCAGCTTTTTCTTTGCACTTTTACATGAAAAGATGCATGTGTGGTTGTTGTTTCACTGCAGGGGATATAACATTAAATGACAGGAATAGATCCAACATCTAAAAATACAGGCAATATTAGTAAGGGGGAATATTGATCGCTTTCTCCTTGCTCTTACCAAATATCTAGCAAGAAGTGACTTAGGAAGGTTTATTTTGATTCCCAGTTTGAAGGGACACACAGCCTTTGTGGAGGGAGAGCAAGGCAGTGGGCAGCTCCCTCGTGCCCGTGTGTGGCTGAGGTTTCCTATTCTCAAGGACCAGAAGGCAGAAGAAAAGCAAGCCCGAGGCCCCCATTGCACATCAGCCCGCTTCTGGCCAGTCCCCAGCGCCTACAGATTCTCAACTCCCAGATCCCCACTGCCAGCTGATGAGGCTGGGGAACTCAGGCCAACACAATTCAACCATAAAGCAACGATCTAGCGGGTGTTACTTTAAGCTAAGGGACAAGCTGGATGGGTGCTCCCCTGTAATCCCGGTACTCGTGAGGCTGAGGTGGAAGGGATGGAGAGTTTAAAGGTCAGCCTGGGCTACTTAGACCTTGTCTCAAACATACACAGGAGGTATAAACCCTGGTACTGTGGGGGAAAAGTTAAGCTGTTTTTTTTTTTTTGTTTGTTTGGTTGGTTGGTTGGTTTTTCGAGACAGACTTTCTCTGTGCAGCCCTGGCTGTCCTGGAACTCACTTTGTAGACCAGGCTGGTCTTGAACTCAGAACCGCATGTGTTCTAAACTCATGAGCCTCCTGCCTGGGCTTCCCAAGTGCTAGGATTCAAGGCATGCGCCACCGCCACCTGAGGTTAAGCTGTTTTTTAAAGCAGTATCTGATGTACATAAAGCGACACTGGGCTTTTTTGTATCAATCTCTGAAATTGGAACGTGTTTAAATTCTTGCACCCTTACGACAGCCTCAGCGTATTGTCCTTGCTTACACACGCACAGACTTGTTCTCAGATCTCCAGTCGTTGCCTTTAAGACCATACAGGCGCTAGCAGCCAACCTTGGGGAATGGGGCTTGGTAGCTGGTAAGAAAATACAGAAAACATTTCACACGGTTGTCATAACAGACAAAAGTGCAGATCCAGGGGCTGGGTGTGCAATGTAGCGCGGTTAGTCAAGTGCTTGTGTAGCTACGCAAACCCCTGGTTTCAATTCCCAGTTCCACATAAGGCCAGGTGTGGTTGTGGACGCCTGTGACCCCAGCACCTCACAGCAAAGCCCGAGGGTTGATGGGGGTACACGAGACCCCATCTCAAAAAAGTGCTACAGCACTAAGGACACTTACGCTTCGTGTTACATCACAGTGTTCACCTACGCAGGAAACATAGACCAGCTTAGAGCCTGCATCTTAGTGAACTAATTCTTTGATGCTGTCGGTGGCCGGACACGGTGGTACACACTTGGCAACTAGCAATCCCGGTGATGGAAGGCAGAGGCTCTGGAGCATGCTGCTGCAAATCCAAAGCCCGCTTGGTCTATGAAACAAGCTCCAGGTAGCGTGGCCCTGTCTCCACAGCAGAATCACCGGGGTTCTGTTGTGTGTATGTGTACTAGTGTGCACCGCGAGTCTTTGAGAAAGTTCTGAAACTGGAGCTTACTGGCTGGCCAGCTAGTGGGCCCCTGGAATCCGCCTGTCTGCCCCTCACCTGCCACCCCAGCTCTGGGGCTCACCTGCCACCCCAGCTCTGGGGATACAGGCATGAGCCACCGTGTGTAGGAAGAAGGAATTGCTGGCGTTTTAAACTCGGGGTCTCATGCTTAAACAGCAAATGCTTTACCCACTGAGCCATCCTATCCCTCAAGGCCCTCAGTGGCACAGAGGATAGTGTGGAGGGGAGAATATTGGCATCTACATCAAGCCATATGGCAATTTGGAAACATTAACCCTGAGTGCAAAGAAGCTTAAGCAATATCTTAATTTCAATTTTTAAATAGACAAGAGTAGAAACATGATTTTTTTAATTGTGCAAAGACATAAGAGAATTCTTTTAATGCAAACAGAGTCCTGGTTTACAAAAGTATGTCACACTGTAGATGACAGTTTTCCCTTGAGGCACATACAGGAATGGCGTTTCTTTTCAAACAAAAGTCGTATGAAAACAGTTGCTGGATGTGGGCAGGAAGAATATGTCCGGCTGGCTTTTCTGTCTCTGCTGCGGACCGTTTGGTGATTTGTATGTTAAGCATTTATACAAAGCATCCTTTGCAAAACCAGGAACTGCTCTAGTTTCACCTCAGCAAGAGCAGTGGGGGCGGGCGTCTGTTCCTAAATCAGCATCAGAGGGGGCCTTAGAAGGCAATTGGGCCAAGGAGTAAAGCCGACGGGCAGTGGGATGCCATTCTGGGAAAGGCTGCAAAAGCTAGAGTTAGGGGAATCAGTCGGGAAGCAGGTCGGGAGTAGACACCACGCCTCACAACTTCCTGTTTCAGGGACACTGGAACCTTCCTCTTTTTAGAAGATAGAAACACCTTATAACCGTGACTTTAAATATAGAGCGCAATGGAACATTTCCCGGCTCAGCGTTGATACAGTGTGTTGTTTAAAGAATGGAAGTATGGGAGACCGGCTGGCATCGTGGTGCACACCTGTAATCCCAGTACACAGGGAGCCCAGGCTGGAGGAGCAGGGGGTCGGGGCCAGCCTGGGCTATGTACTGCACACTGAGCGCCTGTCTTAAAGGGAAGACATTAACTATAAGGAAAAGAACATTGGAGTGGAAATGAAGTTCTCACTCCTCCCTGAGGAGAGCCGCTGAGCTCAGGGTCGATGGCTGTCATTCCTGTAGTGGGGTTATGTGTTCAGCACAGTATTAGTTAGTATCTTAAAATGTTGTACAAAGTATCAGTTTATGCTTCACTGACTGTGACTCAGCATTAGCTTGTGTGTGTGTTATATGTGAGATGTGTGCACATGTGTGCGCACATGGAGACTAGAGGCTGGCATCCGATGTTCTTCCTCTTCCCACTCACTGTCTTTCTAAGCCGGGGTTTTTCTCTCGATGCGCATGATGCTCACTAATTTGGATAAACTGGGTGTGCAGTTTAGTTCCATCTCAGCAAGAGGCGACTGGGGCGGGCTGGCCTGCGACCCCTCAGTCTCTGCCTCCCCGGCGCTGGGATCACAAGCCTGGCTTTTTACCTGGGTGCCGGGATCCACACGTGGGACCTCACGCTTGTACGGCAGGTGCTTTTCCAACTGGGTCGTCTTCCCGAGCGCCAGCGGCAGTCCGCATAAATAAAATCTTCATTTTGTTAAATGTTACGTTCCTCATTCAACCATTCACAATTTCTTATTTTCCTGCCAAAAAGCGGTTAGGTGTTTCCACTGTTTAGAGCTGGGGGGGGGGTCCCCTGCAAATGTTACGGTCAGCAGAGAAATGATCCACAGAGAAACAATCTGTGTAGAAGGAATCCCGTTCTGCACGACTCAGTAGCTGGTACTGGTTCCAACTTCTAGAGTCTGACACGAGGACAGTTTGTTCTTTAGGCTTTTAAGTACAGCACAGTTTTGGAAAGCATTTGGCCCCACACAGTGATTCCTGGGGAGGGGTCCTGACATGGTTGTGAGTCCCTGAGCCTGACAGCTTCCCTCTGGAAACTCCAGACTCTAGATGCTTCATTTCTCTAATGCAGAAGAGCCGTGACTTGTGTGTGTAGCTGAGGGGGGCTCCGGGTGGTTAGCTGCTTGCTGTTATGCCAGAGGTGGGGCGTTTGCTCCGGGACAATGAAACCAGATTTAGAGAAAAACAAAAGGAACCTCAGCTTAGTCGCATACAGGCCGTCAAAGTAGACAAATCAGAGGTAGTGATGGGTCCTGCTGGAGGACGGGGTAAGAAAGGATGGGTGGGAGTGGTGACTGGAGAGATGGCTCAGAGGTTAAGAGCACTGTCTACTCTTCCAGAGGACCTGAGTTCGATTCCCAGTTACCCACATGGCAGCTCACAACCATCTACTACAACTCCCATTCCAGGGGATCTGAAGCCCTCTTGTGGCCTCCTGGGGTACTAGGCACACATGAGGTGCCCAGAAATACATGCAGGCAAAACACATACACATAAAATCATAAAAATAAAGACTATAGCCAGGCGGTGGTGGCGCACGCCTTTAATCCCAGCACTCAGGAGGCAGAGGCAGGCAGATCTTTGTGAGTTCGAGGCCAGCCTGGGCTACAGAGCGAGTTCCAGGAAAGGCGCAATGCTACACAGAGAAACCCTGTCTCAAAAAACCAAAAAAAATAAAGACTATGTTGTTGTTGTTTTTTAATGATAGAGCAATGGGGAACACCTGAACAAAATAAACTAAGTTTCTTGTGCAAATTTAGCTGTTTAATTATAGGCAACTCTGCTGTCTCATAAGAAGGTTTGGGGTCTCACCAAGGTGACTTACAAATTCAGTCTCCCAGATACTGGGGACACATCAGAGTAGTCCAAGGAGCTTCGGGTTGGAGATTTGCTAAGGTAGGCTTTGGATTCAAACAACCTGACTCCCTCCCAGCTCGAATGACAACTCCTATGAACTCACATTTTACTGGTGCCGGAGCTGGGAGGGAGTCGGGAGTTGTCATTCGGCTGGTGTTGATAAATGGGAGTGAGCAAAAATAGTAGCACACGAATGTTGATTAAATCTTTAGCTTTTCTTGAGAGTTTTGAATAGAAGAAGTTCTGCCCTTCAGAGAGTTTTAAAGTGAGCAAATGCAGAGTAAAGGCACGATACAGCAGGGCTTTGACGCCCTGGACCACCTCCGCTCACACTCTGGGCCCACGGAGGTGTGATGCGGCCTCAAGTTGTGAGTGAGAAGCAGGCTTGATCCCGCTGGGGCAGGAAGCGGGTGTCACTGCCTGGGATCCTGGAGACCGTGGGGTGGACCGACCGAGGGCAGGCCCCGCCTTCAGTGCTAGCACCGCCCCGATGCCTTTCCCTTCGCTTTCCGGACCGGGCCAAGGCTCAGTGGTGGGGAGGTGGCCTCAGGAGCCTGAGCCATGGGGACCCGAGCCACCGGAGCTGCGGGCCCTGGGGCACCCCTGGGGTTGGCCCTGCAGCTGCTGCTGCTGCTGGGGCCCCGGCTGTCGGCCGGCGGCCCCGGGACTCCGCCGCTCTTCAACGTCAGTCTGGACGCGGCCCCGGAGCTACGCTGGCTGCCGATGCTGCAGCACTACGACCCGGACTTCGTGCGCTCCGCCGTGGCGGAGGTCATCAGGTGAGCGCGGGACAGGTCCGGTTGAGCTTGCAGCCGGACTCTGCTCCTCCCCTGGTGCTGCAGCCCTGCCCTCCTTCCGCTGCACCCCTGCCCTCCCCACGGCTCGGTGCAGCGCCCAGCCGGTGGCCGACACCGCGAGGCCGGTTTGGCTCTCAAGTTCGGGGTCTCCGGTGGCTGGCGCGCGCGTCTTCCAGACTTTTTCCGGGTCAGGGCGACGCACAAGGTGTCACTCAGTGGGCTAAGCTGTGGAGTGGAGTAAGGCATGCAGCTCCGGAGCCTCCCCATCCCGGACCAGCCTGTCTGCCCTCCTCCCGCTCCATGGTGCTTGGCACTGGAGATGGAGGCGAGTGCATTGGGTCTATCTTAGCCCTTAAATTTTTCCTTCTGAAAGTCTCGCTGGGAGTTTGACCCTGCTCCAATGAGTATATGGACAACACACATTAGGCTTGGTGGGTTTTGTTTTTGTTTTTGTTTTTGTTTTTTGCGCGCGGGGGGTGGGGTGGGAACGGGAGGGTGGACCCGGGAGGAATGAGAAGCGAGTGTGATCCGGGTGCGATGTATGAAATTACCAAATAGTCAATAAAAATATTGTGTTAAGAGAAAACAAAGTCTCGCTGTGTAGCATAGACGGGCCTTCCTTGTGATCTCCTGCCTCAGCCTCCTGAGTAGCTGGGATTACGGCCCTGCTCTACTGCTCCGGTTTATTCCCTCTGGTTTGGACTCTGGGAATGGAGCCGCACCGCGAGTGCTTCAGTTCGGAGAAAATCTAGACTCTTAACTTTCCTCTCTCCCAGTCCACGCACACTTGCACCCTCCGTGCTCTGATCAGGAGAAGCAAGCTTCGTGCTTTGTCGTTTCTAGCAACAGGGTTCCCCAGTGGGTCCTCGAGATGATCGGAGAGGTGGTGTCCAAGGTGGAGAGCATCCTGCCCCAGCCCTTCACTGACGAGATCCGTGGCATAAGCAACTTCTTCAACGTCAGCCTGGCCGAGGGTATCTTGGTCAACCTGGCCTATGAGGCCTCCGCGTAAGTGCCCCATGCTAGGGTGGATTAAAGTCAATTAACTGTCACCTGTATCCCCGATGAGTGGGAGGGGGTATGTTTGCTGTGAGATAAAATAAGCTAGAGCAGTTTGGAAACCACCTTAGGTCTCTGACTCCCTGGGGAAATCTGAACAGCATGTGCCTGTCTGGCGGACTTTCAGGAGGAAGCAGCTACTCTACCCAAGACTTGGTTTTATCTTGTCATCAACCCATGGGGCATCCTACTTTCCAGACTTCTCAAGGGCTGGGGCGATGGCCCTGTGGATGAGGGTGCCTGTGGCGGATAGAGTGGACCTGAATTCAGATCCCTGGCTGGGTATGGCCGCAGGTGCCTGTAACCAAATGACAGGGGTGGGAGAGGAGAGGAGGATCATGGGAACTTGCTACTTCAAGTTCAGTGGGAGAACCTGTTCTAAAAAGTAAAGTGGAGGGCCGCCAAGATAGGTTGGTGGGTAAAAGCGCTTATTTGGCTTGAGCACCTGAGTTCAATCCCTGAGACGTGGTAGGAGAGAATTGATTGCTGTGGCTTGTCCCCTGGCCCCCAGAAGCACGCTGTGACACACGCCCTCTCCCCTCTCCTACACAAATAAAAATAAGATCGATCGATTCAGTAGAGGAAGTCCCGGGCATGCCATTATTTCCCACCCTGCATGGACAGCCAGTAGGTGCATATAGCTTCTGGTGGCCTTAAGATGAAGGAGGGACAGCCAGGCAGTAGTGACACACATCTTTGGTCTCAGCACTCAGGAGGCAAAAGCAGGCAGATCCCTGAGTTCAAGGCCAGCCTGATCTACAGAGCTAGTTCGAGGACAGCCAGGGACACACAGAAACCCTGTTTCTCTAAAAAATAAATAAGTAAAATAAGATTTAAAAAGAAAAAAGGTGAACACAGGGAAGTTTGTGGAATAACAAACTATTCTATGGCAACTTTCCAACCTCAGAAGAGCAAGCCTCCCTAAGCATTTTAACTGCCTGCCTTTCCAGGGGAAGACTTCTGTGTGCTCTAGCCTTTCAAAGGGAACTAAGTTAATTTAACCTGTGTCTCAGGTGAAGGTGTTTATTAAATTGCCTCCTCTTCTTTGTAAAGCACCCTCGGGTTCAGGTAGGAGATGCTCTGTTCTCGCTTCTGAAGGCTGGTTGTATGAGAAAGTGACTAAGCCCTGACTACACACTACTGAATCTTCATGGCCTCGGGCTGCCGGGGAGCACAGCCCTCGGGGGAAGGTGGCATTTTCTGGTTTGTGATGTGGAAACCAAACCTCTGAGGGAACCTTTGTCAGCTCCCTGGTGGCTGGTGAGTTCCAAGGCTGCCCTGAGGCAGAAGCGTCTCATATCCCCTGTGCGTCTGCAGGAGGGCTCACACTGAAAGACGTGCACACCAGGAGTGGCGGTGTACACCTTTAATTCCGGCACCTGGGACAGGTGTAGGGGCAGGAGAGTCTCTGTGAGTTTGAGGCCAGTCTAGACGGTGAGTTCCAGGACATGCCCAAAAATGACTTGGCAATGGTGGTCGCCTTGCTGCCCTTTAGAAAATACCAGCTTTGAGAGAGCTTCTGCAGACTTTAACCACTCACCATGTTACCTGGGCCCCCAACTCTACATGACCATTTGAGGTCAAGATCAGAAAATTTAGGAGTTAAAACATCACCAAGCTTTCTTCTTTAAACAAATCAAGCAGTGAGGTAATACTTGCTTTTTTCTAATTGAAATTAGAAACAAATAGTAACATTGAATCATTACAAAAAATTAGTATGGAAAAGTTTGTTTAAAGTATTGATTGATTGATTGATTGATTGATTGATTTTGTGGCAGGGTTGCCCTGTCTGGCCTGGAACTGTCTATGTACAACAAGCTGGCCTCAGACTCACAGAGATCTACCTGCCTCTGCTTCCCAAGTTCTGGGTTTAAAGACTTCTGTCACTATGCCCAGCCTGGAGTTCCTTTTAATCTAATTAGTATTTTTTTTATTTTTTATAAATGTTTATTTATTGTGTATACAGTATTCTGCCTGCATGTGTCCCTGCAAGCCAGAAGAGGGCACCAGATCTCATTACAGGTGGTTGTGAGCCACCATGTGGCTGCTGGGAATTGAACTCAGGTCCTCTGGAAGAGCAGTCAGTGTTCTTAACTGCTGAGCCATCTCTCCAGCCCCTAATTAGTATTTTTACGTGTGCGCGCTCTAACAATGCATAGTCTGAAGAGGGTAGCTTGGGCTAGCTTTGAATAACATGTTAATAGGTAACATACCAGCAAGCAGAGGGATAAGCAGAGTTCAGAGGTCTAGCTGTGCCTTGCATACAGGCAGGATGTGGGGGAAGATGAAACTCTCATCTGGTACATCTGTAGCAGCATCGTGTGGGTCTAGATGCATTGTATCCAGTTGTTTTTTCCAGCCAGAATTATAATTCCATATCCTTGTACAAGAGCATATTATAGCATTTATGTCAATGATAAGGAAGAAAACCTGATACTTTGAGGATTTGTCTAAAAAACAGAAATCTCGCCCTGTGTTCCTGTTGCCTTCATTCATGTTGGGACTTTTCCCTTTGCTCAGATTCTGCACCAGTATTGTGGCTCAAGACTCCCAAGGCCACATTTACCATGGCCGGAACCTGGACTACCCTTTTGGAAATGCCTTGCGAAAGCTGACGGCGGACGTGCAGTTCCTAAAGAATGGGCAGGTACAGCCATACGCACAAGATGGAGGGATGGGGGCAGGAACAGCCATGCGCACAAGATGGAGGGATGGGGGGCAGGTATAGCCATGCGCACAAGATGGAGGGATGGGGGCAGGAACAGCCATGCGCACAAGATGGAGAGGTCAGCCCGGCTTCTGATCCGGGATAGGAGCCGTTTGCAGAGCCTGCCGTCTTGGGCACTTCTCCCTGTAAGAGGCAAACACCAGGCCGGGGGAAATGGCTCAGTGGATCATGAGGAGCAGTCTGTGTCCTCAAAACCATGCAAAGCTGGACTCAGGAGCAGGTGCCTGTGATCCCAGTGCTCATGAGAGAGGGGCCAGCTGGCCTGGCAGAGACTGTGATGACCAAGAGACCCTGCTGTAGGGAAGGTGGAAGGCAAGGATTGATGCACAAAATTGAAGTTCTCCTCTGACCTCCATACATTCACCATGGCACATGCAAGCCCCACCTCCCCTGTTTAAAAATAACCCCCAAACCATCCACTTCCTGTGGGGGGAAAAAAACAGGAGAAAGTTATATCAATTATGGCCAATGAAGAAGGAATAGTTGTCGTTGTGAGGGTGGTAGGCACATTTTTAGGGGGTTGTCTTAGTTAGGGTTTCTATTCCTGCAGCAAAACACCGTGACCAAAAAGCAAGTTGGGGAGGAAAGGGTTTATTCAGCGTACACTTCTACATTGCTGTGCATCACCCAAAAAAAGTCAGGACAGGAACTCAAGCAGGGTAGGAACTGGAGGCAGGAGCTGATGCAGAGGCCATGGAGGGGTGCTGCTTACTGGCTTGCTCCCCATGGCTTGTTCAGCCTGCTTTCTTATAGGACCCAGGGCCACCAGCCTAGGGATGGTACCACCACAGTGGACCCTCCCTTATCAATCACTAATAAATAAAATGCCCTACAGTTGGATCTTATGGAGGCATTTTCTCAATTGATAACTTTCCAGATAACTAGTTTGTGTGACAAGTTGACATAAGACCAGCCAGCCCAGAGGGAGTGGTCAGTCTTGCAAGGTTGTGTGCAATCTGCGTCTTCCTCTGCTCTCCCTGTTCAGGTGGCTTCTGGAATAGGGAAGGTCTGCACAGTGGCAAGGGGCACCCAGCTTTAAGGTGGGGTAGTCCTGGGTCTGCATCATGCCTCTGTCTTTATTTCCGTTGAGAATTACTCAGTCCTATTCTGTAAGCTCCAACTCAAAGGCATTAACATTTGCTTCTCTGAAATAGCTGTTGTGATTAAATAAAGTCCTCTATGTAAAGCAGATTCTAGGTCTAGCTAAACAGTGGCTAAATCCTGGAGCTGCAGAGATGGCTTAGTGGTTAAGAGCACTGGCTGCTCTCACACAGGACCTGGGTTCAGTTCCCAGCACCTACATGGTACCTGAAAACCTGCCATAATCCAGTTCCTGGAGATTTGTTGCCTTCATGTGACCTTCAGGGAATCGGGCACTCACGTGGTGCATATAATCTAATATTTGCTGTTGTCACGTGACTGCAAACATCTAGAGAGCAGTATTAATCAATATTGATGGAATATAAAGAGTGCACTATGGCCACGCATCAGAAAGGAGTGTGGAAAGTCATGTTTTGACCTGAAGGACAAGGATTATATTCTTTGTTCTTTGCATTTTGTGGTTGACTCAGAAATAATAGAAATATATGTACTGATACTCATTTGGTCACCTGGTGGAGAAAACCTTTCATAAAAGATATAATGAGGGTCTCTCTTTTCTCAGTTTTGTTCATTTACTTTGACATTATCGACAAGTTTTTGTTTACTTCAAAAGAACAATCTTAAGTGGCAACAGTGATAATCCAAATACACAATCAATTCTTTTTTTTTTTTTTAAATTATTTATTGGGGCTGGAGAGATGGCTCAGAGGTTAAGAGCACTGACTGCTCCTCCAGAGGTCCTGAGTTCAATTCCCAGCAACCACATGGTGGCTCACAACCATCCGTAATGAGATCTGGTGCCCTCTTCTGGAGTGCAGGGGTACATGCAAACAGAACACTGTATACATAATAATAAATCTTTAAAAAAAAAAAAATTATTTATTTATTTTTATTTTAAATGTAAATGTGTGAGCCTAAGTGAGGTTCTGTGAGCTGCAGGCAGGCAGGAGCCTGGAGAAGCCAGAAAGGGGTACAGGTCCCCTGGATAAAGTTAGTGTTTGTGAGCCGCCATAAGTAGGTTCTCAGAGCCACACCCGGGGCCCTGCGAGAGAAGCAAGTGCTCCTAACCACTGAGCCGTCTCTGCAGACCCCCTGAGCCATCCCCAAAGGAAATCTGCTAAGATGTCATACCAAAGGATGGAGTGGTTGCTTTAGTTCACTCCTCTGTGCTTTTCTGTGGTTCGAGGTGAGGAAATAGTCTTAGAGTCAGAGACCTGATCAACGTGAGCGTGAAGTATTTGACGGTTGTTGCTTCATTAGCTCCCGCTTATGCTGGGGCTCCCACAGGAATCGGCTGTGGGGATGGTCAGGTGATTGTTCCCTAATCCAGCCAGCTTACGCCTGGGTGCTGTTTTTCTGAGGAGGACTCATGAGTAACAGTATTTTTGCTAAATTCAGAGTGGATTGTACGGGGCTGGAGAGATGGCTCAGCAGTTACACACGAGGCCTGAGAGACCCATGAGTGCTAAACCAGACAGTGGAGATACGTGGGCTGGGGCCAGAACTCAGCCTTCAGCCCCTGCTAGATTTTATTCCAGGGCCATCATTCAGCCATAGCTAGATCGTTAGCATCACAGGGTCAGGGTTTATGTTAATGGACTTGGAAGAGCTGGTTGGGAAGTACATTTAGAAATAAAATGCAGAACTGCAAAGGAAGCTAGCTTACAGCTTCTAACTGTGTACTAATATTGCAAGCAAAATGTGGTTTTGATTTCCTAACTTTGTTTCTGTCTCCTAGGAAGTGAGGGTGTACCCCCTCAGGACTGGGGTGTATCATGTAAATGAAGTAGCAGGAGAATTTCTGGGTTTTGTTTGTTTGTTTTTTTCCATATGATTGCATTTTAAAGAAGCTTTACAATTTTTTATTTTATTATTTTATTTTATGTGTATGCCTGTGGGCCTGAGTGTATACAGGTGTACCACCTGTGTGCAGGTGCCTTCAGAAGCTGAAGAGGAAGTTAGATCCCATGGAACTGGAGTTGAAGGCAATTGTGAGCCATGGTGTGGGTGCTGGGAACTGAACCCGTGTCCTCTGGAAGAACAGCAAGTCTTTTTTTTTTTTTTTTTTTTTTAAAGATTTATTTATT